GTGGGTAAGAACCTCACTTCTTCAGATGCAAGACTTCTTGCATCTGAAGAAGTGAGGTTCTTACCCACGAAAGCTTATGCTCCCAGTACTTCTGTTAATTTTAAGATAACATTTCCACACGGTTCCCAAATGTATTCAAAATATTCTATAGCAATCAATAGTTTATTAAGGTGGAAATTCAGACCAGAATACTCACGTCTATAACTGATGAATGGCTTGATGATGCAGATGATGATCAGGACAACTACTATCAGAATAAGTATCTGGATCCAATCTATGGTAGAAGAATCATCCATGCATCATTACAAAATCCACTTATTGTACTATATTGTTAGAAATATTGTTCCATATCTGATACAAAAGTTGCTGAAGCAGCTCACATTAGATTTTGTTTGATGCAAGATAGAAAAAACAATATGGAGAATCTCTTGGGGGTTTTTTTGGAGAAAAAAGATATAATTCACAGTGAACACCTTAGGCTTAATCCCTGCTTCAAACACACCGGATGGTAGAACATCACTTTATGGAGCACTAGAAACATTTAAAAAAATATTCATCTGTCTAAGATCTCAAACCTGCAAACACTTATGTATGCCTTTAACTTCAAATGCTTTTAATGGGAGTTCTCATGGTAATAAAGTTAAATATCTGCTTGCAGGACCAGGAGCTTCACTATGACAGCTGATATTATTTTCATGGTAGCCTAAAAGGTGTGTGTTGAACAGATTAAAAAGTGTTCCTTAAAATATGCTACCTAATGTACTAACAAACATATTTTGCCGCTACTGGACTTAGGCACCTCTCTCTAGATTTGGTGCCTAAGTCCCGCTATCAGGGGACACTGTGATATACAGAATTCCTGTTTGGCTGCTGCCGAACCCTGTAGGTGCTAAATTCACCCAATACCCATATTATTGCAGTAGAAGTTACCCAAATGCTTCTGTTTCTGCCTCTGGATGTGTGCATGGCTGCCTCGCTTGACGTTCCCAGATTCCATCTTCCATCCTAAATCCCTTGTTTCCCCTCTCTCGCAATCTCTGCCCCTGAGACTCACTGCCCTTCTGCCCACCTTTATCCTCTTCTACTCCCCTGCCTTGTCTCCCTCGCACCCCTCCTTTTAAAATCCCCCATGCCTTTTAGCTAATCCCCTCTGAAAAAGAAAGTAAGAAATAAAAGGAAAACAAATTGTGGCACTAAGATGCCATTTGCTGCCATCACACTGTTGGTTGTAATAGCCCTTTCCCCGCCATATGTCTGTCTGGACTACTTAGATTGTCAGTCATTTGAGGCTTGGACTGCCTGCAACTCTTTATCTGTCTAATGCCAAGCAGAGTGAGGCCCATGCTTGGCTGGCCATTAGGCATGACCACAATGGACATGAGTAATATCATAAATGAGAATGTCATCTCTGGTCTCCCTGCTGTTTGCAGATTTTCTGCAGTCTCAGAGGATGCATTTAATGAGCTACTAATCCCTTTTTCTAAGATTTTCTTTCTCTCAAAGTTTAGATAGTAATTGAACTTAAACAAGTAATAAAATAAATACAAAAAGATTTTAAACATTCAAAATAGAAAGTCTCTTTCCCTTTCAACATTGACTGTTTGATTTCTTATCTTTTGTGTTCTAAATATTTTATTTTATAGTTATTGTTTTCATGTAAAAAATAAGCTAAAAATGGGAAAAGAAGAAAACAAACCAATTCCAATTTATATTCTGCATCATGAAAAAGCTAAAAGAAGAACAAGCTCAGCTTCAGGAAAAATATAAAGAAAGAACAAAAATATGTGGGAAGAAAATTAGAAAGGCCAGGGCACAAAACAAGATTAATCTAAACATAATGGGTAACAAGAAAACATTATATAAATAAATGAGAAGCAAGAGGAATGAGAAGGACAGGGTAGGCCTGTTACTCAATGAGTGGGGGGAAAACAATAAGAGAAAATGTGGAAATGGCAGAGGTATTCAATGACTTTTTTGTTTCAGTTTCCACCAAAAAGGTTAGTAGTGATTGAACATATTGAATACCATTTAAGGTGAGGTAGGATCACAGGCTAAACTAGGAAAAGAACAAATGAAAAATGACTTAGATAAGTTAGGCTTCATGAAATACATCCTACAATACTTAAGGAGTGGCTTTAGGAAGTAGCTGAGCCATTAGGGATTATCTTTGAAAAGTCATGGAAGATGGGAGAGATTCCAGAGCATTCAAAAAGGGCAAATATAGTGCCCATCTATAAAAAGGGAAATAAGGAAAAGCAGAGCAATTACAGAGCAGCCAACTTAATGTCAGCACCTGGTAATATAATGGAGCAAATAACAAAGCAATTGATTTGCAAACAGCTTTGAATCATAGTAATTGAAGATAATAAGGTGATAAGTTACAGTCAGCATGGATTTGTCAAGAACAAATCATGTCAAACCAGCCTAATAGCTATCTTTGAAAGGGTAACATGTCTTGTGAATGGAGGGAAGTAGATATGGTATATCTTGACTTTAGTCAGGCTTTTCTCACAGTCTTGCATGACCTTCTCACAAAGAAACAAAGGAAATACAACCAATATGGAGCCACTAAATGGTGAGTGTATAACTGGTTGGGAAACCATTCCCAGAGAGTAGTTATAAGTGGTTCATGGTCAAGATGGAACGGCATATCAAGTGGGGTCCCTCAGGGATCAGTTTTGGGTCCAGTTCTGTTCAGTATCTTCAACCATGATTTAGATAACGGCATAGAGCTACATGTATAAAGTTTGTGGATGATACCAAGCTGGGAGGCGTTGCAAGTGTTTTGGAGGACAAGCTTAAAATTAAAAATGATCTGGACAAACTGGAGAAATGATCTGAAGAAAATTGGATGAAATTCAATAAGGACAAATGCAAAGTTCTCCACTTAGGAAGGAACAATCAGTTGCTTACATACAAAATGGGAAATGACTGCCTAGGAAGGTGTACTGCAGAAAGGGATGTGGGGTTCATAGTGGATCACAAGCTTAATATGACTAAACCGTGTAACACTGTTGCAAAAAAAGCAAAAACCAATCTGGGTGTATGAGCAGGAGTGTTGTAATTTTTCCACTCTACTCCGTGCTGATTAGGCCTGAGCTGGAGTATTGTGTTCAATTCTGGGTGCCACATTTCAGGAAAGATGTGGAGAAATTGGAGAAAATCCAGAGAAGAGCATACAAAATAATTAAAGTTCTAGAAAACATAACCTTGAGGGAAAATTCTAAAATTGGTTTGTTTAGTCTAGCAAAGAAAGAAAGGGGACATGATAGCAGTTTTCAATTACATAAAAAGTTGTTATAAGGAGGACCGAGAAAAAATATTCTCCTTTACCTTTGACAATAGAATAAGAAGTTATGATCTTAACTTCCCAGAAGAGTGTTTTAGGGAGGACATTAGGTAAAACTTCCTAATTGTTAGGTGGCTAAGCACTGGAATAAATTGCCCAGGGAGGTTGTAGAATCTGTGACATTAAAGATTTTCAGAGCAGGTTAGACAAAGACCTGTCAGTGTTCATCTAGATAATACTTATTCCTCCCATGAGTGCAAGAGACAGGACTGGATGACCTCTGGAGGTCACTTCCAGTCCTACAATTCTATTATTTACCCCTTTTCATGTCACCTTTAACAGACAGTCTTTTATATCTGATACTAAAACAATAAAGTATCGCACAGGGCAAGAGGGTAGATTTGGAACAGATAGCCCAGCAGTCTGAAGACAGGAAGAAAAAAAATTCTCTCTATCCTTAATGATACCATCTCCCTCCTCTAGAGTCCTCCTGTCCTACTAGTGGGCATCCATCTCCACCTCATTGCACAGTTATGGTGTCACAACCCAACAGCCCCCTTCCTCAGGGGGTCCCCTGGGGAAGCAAATCAGTATTGTATGTTGCTAACGCTGTTGTAGGCATTGCAAAGTATTCTGGGAAAGGTTAGTGTGAGTGAAAGTTTCCTTTGCAGGTTGCAAGGGGCCGAAGAGAGAGGAAAGGAGAAAGGAATGGGTTAACACGACGATTCCGCTAGGCTACAAGATAAGGGGCAAAACTGCTGCTCAAGGCCAACGCACACAAACAGGCTCCCTGCTGCTAAATCACCAAAAGCCTGTGGGAAAGGAGAACTGAACCAGACAGACCTGAAAGGGGGGTGCAAAACTAGTAAGAATGTGAAGGTCAGCGAATGGGAACATAACTGTCTCATGGCCCTGAAGCCAATGTGTTTTGGGGAAACCAAGGAAGCCTCGGAAGGCCAGTTTGGACTGGTACACAGAGCATGGGGAACAAAGGTTTCTGAAGAAAACGCCCCCAAGATACCCCAGGAGTTAAAATCCTCCCGGGAGCTGAGGCAAATGGAACCTGGACGACCCATGCACGGGACAAGTACTCCCGTCCACCCTTCCCCTCTTCTTCTTACGTTACACCCAAGCTTGGCCAGCCTTGGGTAGTGCGGGTGTGAATATGAAAGTGGGTTAGGGCTTGGGGAACTAACGCTTTCTTCCTTCCTCTACATGACATGGGGAACCCGTCCCCCAGCATTCTCCACTGTTATTTTATTATTTTATCAATACAGCTTTAAAACTCAATTACTTGGTATGCTCCATCATCTCCTCCCCAAATGATCCTGTGGCCTTAGCCTGATCATCTGATGCCTCAGGCACATTGATAACAAAAATCTGTCACAGTTTTGGTGGAGAATTGCGGAGGGGGGAGCCCTGTGGAACACACTAAATGCTTTGCCCTTGGTATTTCATGTTTGCTCTGTCCGGCACCACTGATATTGCATTTTGAGGATTTTATGATTAAAGGTGAGCCCCACCCTCAGTCACAGCATGACTGAGAAATGGAGGGAGGTTTAGCATTCCTCTCTCCACCCCAGTAAGTGGGGGAAGGGTGCAGGTAGGTCTACCCCCAGTTGTAAAAGTGCTGGGCAATAGGAGGAGGGCTTACAGACCCTCGCTCCACAAAAAAAGATTCCTCGGTGCATACACCCTCAGTCATAGTATGACTGAGCAGAAGAGGAGAACTTAGGGTGTCTTGCTCTGCCCAGAGGGGGCTTTGTATGTGGTGTATGGAGTAATACAGAGGAAGGCTTAGCATCCCTCCCTCCGGCCCCGCGGGTGGGGAATGTGAACATTGTAAGCCCCGGTGCCGTCATGGGCAACGTGAAATTTCAAGTGACTAGAGAGACCTTAAGAGCTGTACTAGCAAATTTTGAAGGAAGAGTTATAAAAGTAAAAGAGATTCATAAAGAAATATGTTCAGGTGCTTTTTCTATGTG